GCGAACAACGATTTCCATCTTTGTCTTCAATAAGAATGTCATCCTCAGCTTTGTAGAAAGTAGCTCTTTGCTTGAACTCAACTTACTACTTACTACTTACTACTCAACTTACTGATTGATTATTGAACTACTGAATCGGCACTCAGAAAATAAGAACAACATAAACATAAGATTTAGGATTTATCCAAACTCTCCAACCCAAATCCAAATATAACCAAAACACCACGTGTGGTCGAAACAACCTTTGGTCGACCAGTGGGAGCTTGTCCATTTGTTTCCGTCCTTGATGATGAACTAGACTCTTGGTATCTGATATGAATCTGCCACGAAATAGTTCTTCATGTTGTTCCGGTTGCATTCTACAGCGAAGCACGGAAAGTCCTGTATACGTAGCTGTTGATGTGTCAGCCCTGGGTCAACAGTGTGGACTCTGGACGGGAATCCGAAACACACATGAATCAGAGTTACAAATTACAAAGTCATTTATTTTTCTATATCAGTACAAAAAAACAAAAACTTGCGTAGTACCGTAGTACCCAATTGTCATCGGGGAGCAGTTCAGTGAACTTGCATCTGTGGAACACCCAAAAAGTATCTCCATCACACCGATCATTCCTCCATTTCGCCCATGCACTCTCCATGGAGCACAGGAAGCGTGTCGCATTGTGTCACGCAGGAAGTGAACTCAACAGAACAAAGGAACAAAGTTTGCAGTGTGCTGTGTGCAGTGCAGTGCATTGTGTCCACCCTTTGCCCTTTGCAAATTGGATTGAAATGTTAACTACAACCAAAGATGTTCCTTTACATCATGCCTTGGGCCCTGGACCAAAAGCACCACTCAAGTCTTCCTTGATCATCCTAGCCTGTAAGGCTAAACTCTTAACAACATGCTCCGAAAACGTCAATTCACTCAAAGCACGTGTTTTCAGTAGTGTTTTTGGTCAACAGTATGATGGAACATGGGGGAGCCTTCCCCCAAAAGGCTCGTTGACATTAGTACATAATATGCCTCCCTGTCTTGAACTTGTCACTATGGAGCACATGACCATAGTGCAGCATTCTGGTCCTAGAATGCCTGAGCACTCTTGCAGTGTCGCAGTTGTCGGAAGGGGCCATTGCATAGGACGGCCAAGAGCGCGTGAGACCTCTCCTGGTCTGAACCGTCACCAGATGACGAACTCGTACTTGACGATTCTGTCTCATTCTCGCTCTTGAAGAAGCAGAGGCTGAGGAAGCTTTGCCCCGATCGCCGCTATCCACTCGGATGATACAAGGCGTGCTCTTCATCAGCATTCAAGTGGCCTACCAAACCAGACCTAGAAACGCCAGGCTCTACCATAAGTCTGTTGAATCTTTCGTCAGCTTTCTTCTTGTCAGCAACAGACATGTGAGCCTGGTCACCTGCCATGCGACTAGCAGCTTCTCTTACAGACAAACCAACAACGCGTTCAAAGGTCGTAGCAATAGATGTCCTTGCCGAATTGTCAGGGAACACAGCATCTCGAGGTGCATCCAGGATGAACTTGCCGTCGTACACATCTGCCAACATCATAACCATTTGGCGGACGGGATGGCCTGACGCGTCCCGAGTATAGTTTAGTGCAGAACCATGTTCTTTCTTCACATGGTACTCAAGAATCTCGTTTATGTCCAAGGAGCTACCCCATACATTCATGAGCAGAAAAATAAAGAAAATCCGTTCCGCAGGTGTTCCGCGCAGGTTCTGCGGGGGTTCCGGCAGGTTCCGCGGGGGACTCCGCGCCTTTTCAGGCACCGCGCGAGCGCCCACTGAACACCCACAGAATCCCCATGGAACCCCCGCGGAGTCCCCACAAAACCCTCGCAGAACATCCGCAGAACACCCGTGCAACAGGCGCGGAGCAGAAAAAATAAAGAAAATCCGTTCCGCGCAGGTTCTGCGGGGCTTCCGCACAGGCTCCACGCCGCATGTGCTTCAGCCAGCGCGATCACCCGCGGAACAGGCGCGGAGCAGAACAAAGTAGAGGTAAAAGAGGTTCCGCGGGGGTTCCGCGGAGACATATCTTCAGGAAAATATTGTATTTGAATTTACAGTAAAATTGACTCCATAGAATGGTCTGAATATACTCTTCATGTGTCATAACCTTTGTCACGTCCTTTATGGGTGGAATCTGTTTACAAGCACCTGCCCCAATGATATTTTTCAGGGCGATTCCTCCCAAACTCCCTTATCTTATTCAATATGAACAGGGTGCCATATAAATCTCATCAAAAACAATGACATCAAACCCACTATGGTCATAAATAGGTAGTCTGTCCTCCTTATCAGTTGGAATACTGAAGAATTTGTTAAGTGTTGTTGCTTCACCTTGGATTTCCTGACTCGCTCGGTTATGGGTTGATATAGGCCTACAAGCATTAGCACTCAAAATAACAAAACGTTGAAAATAGATGATTTCAGGGCGCTTAGAGGGGTGCGCAGGGTGGTGCGCGGGGCGGCGCGCAGGAGGGGGGGTCAATTTGACCCTTGAAAAGTGGTAAGAGAGTGGGAGGGAAGGGCACCGAAGAGGGAGAAAAGAACAGGGCAGTGTTGGATGATTTGTGTGTTGACTACTGGTTAAAGAAGTTACCCATATGAGACATCATTGAGAAATACTTCAATTACACTGATGACGTTATGACATCTGATATGCACATAGCATACACCAACTTGAGATGTAGAAGTGTAGCAAATGAATGTTTACGTTTTCAAGAACAATTCTGAAGATGATAGGATGCATCGGATGCATGGTTTACTGTCAAGAAACTACTCGAAGAAAAACATAGATGGGCATAAGGCTCAGGAATTCAAGGCAGGAAGACACATCAATGCTGGGAACTATGTGAACGCGCCCTGGCGCCTCGAGAGGCGTTGTCAGAAGTGCGGTGGGATTTTGAGATAGATGACAAAAGGACAAAAGGGAAAATACGTAGCACGTTTACCGTGCAACGGGTTGACAATGCCTATAATCATTCCAAAGATAACTGTGTGGCATACTGTAGATACTGCACATGTAGTTCTAAATAATCTCTACGTTAGATATATGTCAAAACAAAAAATATTTCTGATATATAAATATATATACATACTGACAGAAGTTATTTTTCTTTTTTTTCAGGGCAAGGCTGTGACCTTGCAAGATGCCAGAAAGAGGGATAGGACTATCACCATGTCAAACGTAAGCGAGTTTTTCAAGAACAACGTAGAAGTCAAAAAGAATCCCCGTGGTTACAACTCGTTCGTCGCACCTCATAATGATCACACACATCAAACAGGTATATGTTTTCCAAGGATGATATAGAAGCACCACAGGAATTCAGGGGTGGTTTGGTCGCCATTGACGTTCTAAGTAAACGGTGGCAGTTCCTATTAAGAGTAAAGAAATTCCTGACGTCATAGCAGGACCCATGGAGGCACTACAGAAGATGGGAAAGAAGCCCCAAATCATATGAGTGAGAGGTCGTTATATTATACAGATATATACTGCAAATATATATATATATAATATATATTATATTTAGCTATATATTATCAATATATATATATAAATACAAACCTGCAAACCAGAAAAAGAAAACACTGTCAAGACGAAATGAGCAAGGGGTCCCGCATTGGCAGCTTGCCCAGTTGAGCTTGTCGAGGCGCTCACATAGCCACTTGGGTTTCCACCAGCGACACTTCCTGCTGCAATGTTTTCCCACTTCCTGCTGTTGAGGTGCTTCGGAGGCTTCGTGCTCCACTGCGCGCTGCGCCTCGCCCTCCGCGAGCTGCAGTTCCCGAAAATCCATGAACATTTGTACCTGGGAGAGTCCTTGGAGAGACGTCATCACCTACAACATACGGCGAAATACGGCGTATGTTTTGGGAGGCTTTGAGATGTTTGACTCTGCTTTGGGAAACTGACAAGTTTTGTCAGGGCTCTGCACGCTTGGCCCAATCTGAGAAGACCTTCCGCGAGAGACTTGGGAACCACGTCCCCGCCCGTGCGTCACAGCAATCCGACAGTTTCAAGAAATGGAGCCAGACAGCTGCGCTCGGAGACTCAGTTCGGAGGTAGGTTACTTAATTTCATGAATCTTTATTCCTGACTGGGCCACGAATATGCACCATTCAGAGGTTTGCTGGTAACTGATAACTTGTAACTTCGACAGTGGGGTCCAAATCGGGGGGGGCGCGCGCAAGACGTCCCAACTGGCAGCGGAACTGCTCCGCCAGAAAACTGAAAGAAGATGCTGCAACCCTGCAATTACTTCGGGCAGCGCCCACCCAATTAGCGAAGGTCAGTTAGCAAGGCCCTGCGACGCACACCCAGCCACGCAAGAGGTTCTACATTAAGTCACGACAACAACCCGGCAAAACTTGAGAAGCGGACACAACACGTGCTTCGCCCAACGCAACCAACCCCGCACGTTTGCAAGCAACTCAAACTTTCAGAGAAATTCCAAATGCATTGCGCTGGCTCTGATTCACCGTGCCTCCCGGACTCCCGGAGACACTTTTTCAATCTTATGCAGTTTGCGTGCTTGACTGCGCCGTACGTTTTTTTCACTGAGGATTTGCTGCACATAGCGCGACGCTTGTTTTAGCTGACTTGGGCTACCAGGTGTTTACACGGCTTGCGCAGGAGCCAACCGTGTTTTCAGATTTGTAAAAAACGATATGCGACAAGACCAAGAGTCCCGAGTCCCCTTTTCCATCAAACCATGACTGAGCATGGGGGGAAGGTCACTGGAACCACTTGCGGACACCATCGCGCAAATTCATGTCCATCCTCGTGAGCTAATCTGCACGCAGCTGAGTTGGCGCCCACAAAACATGCATTTTTTCCGCAAATAGGGCCGGCGGCAACGCGTCTTTAACCTGAAGGTCTGTTTCGGGGTATGTTAGCCAGGTATATTTCGGAGGCATGTTTCGCAAATCCACAAGCAACATCTCATTTTTAGCCAGTTATGTTTCGAAGGTATGATTCGGGGGCATGATTCGACCTATGTTTCGGATGATGTTGAACATGCGTCCCGTCTAAAGTGCTTAGCACTGCATTTATGGAAGCAGCCTAGTGACTTTCAACAACTTTGAGTCCGTCAAATGAGGAACGCTACACAAACTCTGGGCTACTTCCAGCTGCTCACAGCGTGAAAAGTGCATGTGTGCTTCGTTTGGCAATCTATTGCCCCATGAGACCCTGGAACTGGGTCTGCGCAAGCGAAGGTGGGGAAAATGTGATCCTGTTGGCCTTGAAGAGAACGATTCAAAAAGAACACACATCGGGAAACATGCCTTCACGCACCTCTTCCGCAAATAGACCTGCAAATAAGGAGCGCAGGGATGCAAAGGGCAATTTATTTGTCATTCCAGTGTTCACTGCATAAACAAGCTTGCTTCACGAAAACTATCCAGGCCGTTTCAACTGTTGCCCTCCTTCCGCCCCTTAGCATTCCCAAACCGGAACACTCAACTTCGGGTGACATGTACGCGTTCACAAGCTCGCTGCTTCGTGCGGCGACCAATCCCTATCCATTAGGCCTCCTTGGAACTGGTCTCCAGAAGCGACGGTGAGGAACCTTTCACTGGTCGACTCGAGCCCGGTGGCCATGTGGAGAGTGTGAGAGTGTCGCTGGTTGCAGCTGAAGCAGCTGAAGCACTTCTATATACCAGCCACCACCCGCTCGAAGAGCCACTGGCATACATGTAGGGTGCTGGGTGGCACTATTCATGTCCCAAGGCGTGGGACACTCTCAACCATGTTTGCCTCCCTCAAAGCTATTTTTGAGTTCACGGCTTGCTGCGCACGCACTGCATTTAAGTTTCAGCGTGAGCCTTCTCTCTCGATTCGTCCGACTGAGCAAATTGAAGCGCTGCACTCAAAGAACCCTTCGCTGGCCAGATGTCCTGTCCCCCATGTCTTTGTAGATAACTTCTCTGCCTGTCCGCAGATACCCGCAGCGTCGATGCCGCCAGCGAGGTTTGGTCTCGGCCCGACCCTTCCACGCGAGCAAACTCACACAACTGCTGGGTGAACTATCACCACTTCATCCTCTGACCAACCAAAGTCCTGTCTTGCTACCATCATGCCAGGAACACGGACATGGCAGATGCCAAGGTCGGCCACCTTCTCTCTGCGCGGCGTCTCTGACATGCCCTCTTCAACATGAAGATGCACGAAACACTTCCCAGCAAGCCTGCCAGGCGTCCAGCGCCTTCACCGTCCCACCCTGCAAAAGCCATGCGTGATCTGGCTTTCAACTGCTGCATGGTTCTCCCGAAGGTGGCGGATAAAAGCTGCTATCCGCTCCCTCAATCGTCGCTGGGCTCTGCGCCGGTCATCCAGTCCTGGCCCCGTCATGAGGCTGATCTCCGAGTCCATTTCATCTGCGCCGTTTGAAACTTTGACCTTCTTGGTTGGCGATGCCCCTGCGGCTGCATGTGCGACAGGGACTGCCACTGGCGCAAGGGGTCAGCAGGGACTGCCTCGATACCCTCCACATGTATACTACAGGCCATGCGGGTTGTATACTACAGGCCATGCGGGTCATTTCCATGGGCTGCAGTTCCCGCCGCTTGGGATACGCTATAATCCTCGCCGCTTTATCCGCTGTCAATGTCACGAGAGAATCACAGCTGGCAACATAGCAAACAGTGTGGGCGTTTCCACACCGCCATAAGTGTATCCACGGAGTTATAAGGGTAGCGGGTAGCGGCATCTGGAAGGCCATACCCGCCCACCATGGTAACAAAGCAAAATCCCTCCAAGTCAAAGCTGCAAAATCGCGTTGTCCAATGCATGCGCTCAAAGAAGTCCAGGAAGAGCAACGCCCGAACTGCCCAAGAAGAAACCCACCTGAAACGTGAAAAATTGCAAAGATCTCACCTGTGTACTCTTGCGGGAACATGTTGTACAATGCAAACAAGTTTGCAAAAGCTGGTGCCTGGTGGAACAACTCCGTCGAAAGGCGGTGAGTGAGGAGTGGTTTGTTGCCTCGCTCGCAAGCTTTGCAAGCCAAAAGGGGAAGCTTGCAACCGAACCTACGACAAGAATCTAGGGAATATAGCCCTGTGTGGTGGTTTCATTCGCTGCTGCACGACGCCAAATTTGCGAGGCGAAGGTCGGAGCGCTATGAGCTGTCGCTGTATGCAATCAGGGTTGATCCTTTCCCGAACCAAACTCCGAGAAGAACGCTGGACACACTCCAGAACTCTTGCGTCTCCTCTTCAGTCATCTTCAGAGCTTTTTGAAGCATGCCGACTTTGAGGCGCGGCCTGGGGTCATGTTCTTTCTAGCTTGCGAGCGAGCCATTGCGAAAGCCAGCTTTGCAAATGGCATTGACATGGTTGTACCAAGCCCTTGGCGCACGCCGACTGGACTGTGAGCACCTTTTCGTCGGACTTGCCATCAGTCTTTGCCCTTGCCTTTGGCATCTTTGCGAAAGGCGCGCTGCATTTCCCACTCCGGGCAGGTTTTTCCGTCTTGGGGGGCATTCGGGACTCAAGCGGCCAGCAGTCACTGTCCAGGGTTGATGGGATTGGACTGATCCTCTCACGGCGCGAAAGCGGCAGCTCCTGTTCTTCTTGAACTTCGCACGGCCAGCAAGAAAGGCTGATTTGGCCGGTGGATGCTGCAGTTGATGAAACTCATCCCTCTGTGGAAGGCCACCATCAAACTCTCGCGAGGTCATGCTTCGGGAGTTGAAGGCATGCCAATGCGTGACTCAACGCCGGCGCCGCAGTTGATCTTGGTGACATCTACTCGTTCCTGCTCTTCTTCCCCTTGCTTTCAAACGAGCACAAGATTGCAAGAGCGTGGCTGCGTTTGGAGGAGACACTCCTCAAGCGACCACCCCGCCAATCACCTCAAGACCCTAGCACCCTTGGACCTTCGACCTTCCCAAGCGCCTGTAGGGCAAGGGCAAGGCAAGAGTTTCAATGCAAACAAGGGCAGGGGCAAACGAAGCTGTGGAGAGATGACATGATGAAAGGCATCCACCAAAGCCATCAGCATGGGCAAGAATAGCCACACAAAGGCCCTGTCCCAGGAATCACGATTTGTTAGGGACAACCACCGACATTGGAGGTGGAAGCACTTCCAAGCGCCCAGGTTCAGGATTCTCTTTCGGAGGAGGAAAGCGCCCACTCGCTTCAACACCCTCAGCCTAAGGGCCTAAGAATCTGTTCCAAGGTGTGTTTGGGTCCACGGTCGGGTCATCGGCTCTGCTGTCCTTTCTTTCGCGCATCTCCCCCCTTCTTGGGCTCGTCTTAGATCACGCAGTGCTCTGGGCCTGCAAAACGACTTGCCCAGGCCGGAGGTGTTTGAGGAGCTGGTCGCGTTTGACATTGGTCTAAGAACCCCAGGAGGTCGCACGCGCTGTAGAGTGTAGAGGTGCATGCCTCTCACCGCCGCAGTTCAGACAAGCAAAGCGAAAACCGTACGGCTAGGATTCAACGGTCTCCAGTTCCGGGCTGTCGCGCCAAAGCAATGCCTCTATAGGGCTGCTGGAGAAGGCCGTGAAAGCTAAGCGTGCTAATTAGCTGCATCGAAGCTCCAGTCATACTCCGTCGTGTGATCGAAGTTGCGGTGGACGTCGGAAGCGTTCTCCTCGTCCTCCACGGGCCTGCTTAGGGCCAGAACCTTTGCAAAGAACGGCGCGCGGGCAAGAATACATATATATATATATAATGGCTTCGCGTCGCCAACTGATCACGCTTCGTGCTTTCAAGAACCGTGTCCTTAAACAAGCGAACAAACGATTGAAGGCCTTCTTTTTCCACCAAATCATGGCCCAGCGAAAAGGAGCTTGGGGGATGAACATGGAGATTCATGCAGGAGGCCTGCATCTGTCGCAACAAAAACAAAAGCGCTCCGCTGTTGCTAAAATTGCCGACAGGGTGCTCACAGGTGAAGAGCTGTGCACGGAGAGCCCGCAGAAAGCGAAATATTGCGTGCGCGGCATGAAACATTCAGGCCGGATTTGAAGATTAAATGCACAGAGAAGAGATCAATTATGTACTGTAAAACGCATATATATAATTTACCGTATAATTTTTGTGTATGCGTCTCGATGTATGCGTGCGCACGATCGCATTCTGTACAAAATCTAAGCAAAATCATTGCGCGAGGCGTCCTGGTTGTTGAGCTGAGTCGCACGAGTGGATGTGCACATTGTGGAGAATGGTTGTCAAACTTTTGGATACCAGCTGCAGTATGTTGCAGTATACCTCCTTCAGAACCCTGCTGGGGAATGCCCTCCAGAACCCGTGCCATGCTCCATGACTTTGCCAGAGCTGAGGACAAACTTATGGCGGATAGTAGCGAAGAATGAAAGGAGAAAGGGCTGGGGTGATGTACATTCGTTGGATCTCGTTGGCTCCAGGACGGGGTGGCATGACTCGCGACCAGCCAGCTTTGCCATACCATGTTGCAGCACACGATGAAAACTCTGCAGTTATCTCCTGCCAATTCAATATATACACGTTATCAGCATCCACATGGCATATTGCTGTCTAGATGTGAACGACATTTCTAGGTAAACAAGATTGACTCGAGCTAACAGCTCATGATGCTGGTGACACACTACACGCTCGTCTCCAATGTTTTACTGGGTTTTTCTCTTGCGCGTTGTGGTCTGCTCGTTGAACTTGGTTTCGGCATTGGTCATGTCCTTCTGCGATATTTCTTCTCGTTGACATGAGCTTGAGCTGCTGTGTCCTGTAATTGTCACGCACTCATCGCATCCCTCTCGTTGTTCCCTCATTTTCCCACCACATCCTCCTTAGGTATGTGTCTTCCCATGAAATGATACTGTAGATTCAGCCCACAGAGCCCGATCAAGCAGCCAAGAATTGTAGTCGATAAATATGGCAAGAAAAGTTATTCAATGGATTCAATGGATTCTCACATATGTGACATGTAGGCACACTCCGCTTGAAAACGAGTAGACATCTGAAAACAAACAAAAATTTCTTCAAACAAAGCAGGACCCACCACATCCCAAAGCCCGTACCAGTCAAAAGAAACAACAAGGAAACAACGCAAAAACATGGCACGTGTTCCTCAGGTTTCATGCGGACAGGACGGGCATCAACAAACCTCTGCCCCGTTCTGTCGCAGGCTCTTTTTCCTCGCCCTGGCCTCTCGGAGAATCGGGCACCGTCGGATTCGTGCCTTACCTCGAAGAGTCTGCAACACTTGACGCCAGCGCCAGCGGATGCAAGGCAATATCCCACAAGGCCACCAATGCGCACAAAACGGCAGCCTCAGGCGCGGCCCAACACATGTGCAGCAAGAAGGATGAAGCCATCACAAGTCATGCGCAGCACCTGATCAGCATCAGAAGTCGTATTTTGGGGGGGGTCCGCCTGAACTGCTTGGCAGATTCGGTCCTACAATCAGGTATCCCTAAGTTATTGGATGGTTTTTGTACTTTATTCTTGCCTGCGTTGCATCTTTACGCGCCCAAACTTCAAGCCTGAGCGTGTAAAGTCCTTCGCTTTCCATGGAAAGTGCGGGTTATCTCCTCTAAACATGGTTGGGGGACTCTGAAAGGAAATCCTGCAGAGCTTCGTGAGCGACACGTTCGGGGGGAACGAAAGCTAGCCACTGCGAAGCAAGAGCGGCTCCAGCTAGCTGAGGCTAGCTTCGTGGCCAGCTGGTGAGTAGGCAAGGTAATCTCATGAGCCGCCATACGGATTCTTCTCCACAATGCGTTTTGGGAATTGGCTGATGAAGATGGTGAGGATGATGAGTCAGAGAGGTACCTTGGCTGGGAAGGGGGACGGTGAAGGACAGTATGGGTTGGGGTTTTGCATTTGCTGGGGTGGTAGGTCCGGTAGGTACTCAGAAGAGAAGAAAAGAATAGGAGTCCGAAGGACCATTGTAATTACCGAAGAATTTGGCAGCAGCAGAGCACCTAGCAAACGCAGCAGCAGACCGCCGAGCAGCAGCAAAGCATCAAGCAGCAGCAGCAGCAGCAGCAGCAGCAGCAGCGGTGACTGGGAGGTTCGTGGCGATGATGGGGTTGGAGCACTGGAGTTGGCGGTTGCGCGGGCGCCATCGGTTGCGTTGGCTGATCAGGAAGCGTCGCCGGCGGTGCTGTGGGGGCTGAGCTGAGGAGGACGGATTGTCCTTAAGGAATGCAGTGGATACGTGGCCCGGCGGGCTTGATGAGGGCGATAGCCGGGGGTCTCGGAAGCCATGAATTGCAGCGACGCTGAGCGGGCATTCACGGGGCAATCAGGATTGGAAGGGTCAGAAACGGCTGGCGGGAAGGAGGATGTGGACAAAAACCGGGTAAGAAAACAGGTCTGGTTGCTGTGGAAAGTTGGGGCGGCGAAGGAAAGTTGACAGTTGACAGGAGTCTCTTTTGTTGAACTCGCGCAAAATTTCGGCGAGACACAAATCGGCGGGAGGCTGCGTTGTGAAATGTCTAGGGTGCACTGTCTATGTGATCAATGGACATAGTAACAGTAGAGGCACGCCACAAGTGTGCACGCAAGACACCACAGTGGTCAGGAGTGGAGATTGGGTCAAGGTAGTCCACGGGGTAGAGGTGGAATGGTCACGTGGCGGTGGTGGTGGTGGTGGTGGTGTGAATTGGTGTGAAATATTGACCCCATATCGTATAGTTCGATTTCGGCCACATACTTCAAGCTCTCAATATAAGCATGCTCATGTTCGCTAGGCTGTAGGCCATCCAGGCCTATTTTTGGCCACCTGCGCAAGAATGACGCGCACAAACCAGAGGGTGCGGCAAGAATGACACGCACAAACCAGAAGGTGCGGCATTCGAGAGAACCACGGATCGATGCAGGCCGACCGCTTGGCTCAAGCGCATGAAAAAGTGCGCGACCACAACGGTGGTCTGGGGGGGTGACCTGGTCGCGGGTCGAACGTTTCGTTCACGTGTTTGCAACCAGGTCCTTTTGAACGGTATCTCAACTGAAGTGAATCTTCATATGGTAGCGGAGCCCCAATCGGGGCAGTAGGTTTCTCCACATTTGTTCAACTGTGTTGTCATCCTCACTCTTTTAGGATCTTGAGCCATGGCAACCTCTGGAGGAACTGCAAGCCAGCGCGATCGATCAAGGGACCGTTCGCCATCAAGGCCTGCTTCAGGTCGGCAAGCGCCGGGAGTGCAGGGGGCGGAATCCGACCGTCTCGATCGTTTAGAGCCTGGGATGCAGCCAGTGAACCCGACACCATGTCCTGGAACGCCCGCTGGATTCCCGAATGCACAAGAGTTAGCGCCCGGTGCCACTCAAAACATGCCAACTACAACCCAAGGTGTAAATCCGAATGCAAATATTCCTGTTGATCCGTTGCAAACTCAAGACCCCTGGCGTAATTTCCAAACCCCATCTCAGGAAGCAGGAATTCCAGATCGACCATTTCCTGTTAGTATGCCGACATCACCTGATCGGCAAAAGCCATTCGGTGCGACATCATCGAACGCACAGGCTGCTTCACCTCCGGCGCCGGGTCTTCCAGGGCCGTGAGAATGCTGCTCACTGTCTGCTTCTCCAATCTTGAAGTTGGGGAATACCACAGAGTCACCAACCTTCCATCTTGCGAGGGTCTCTCCGACATCAGTCCTGGCCAAAAGCATTCACCAGAGAGCTGATCAACTTCTACCGTTTTCCCTTCGCTCTCAGCACGATCCCGATGAGCGTGCTTGGAGATTTGGTCCACGGCCTGTTTGTTGGTGACCAGTTGGGTGTGCTCGCAGGAATCCAGTTCTCAAAATCCGCCAAGACTTCTCTACTGCTCACGGTCTTCGTGACCATTAACTCCTCCTCAAGCTCCTTCTGATCATGCAGCTGGTTGTAGTGGTCATTCTGGAGGAGCATCTCTTCAGCTTCAATGTTGTTCAAGATGGCTTCGGTCAGCACCTCCATATAGCATCCTTGCTCAGGGCTGTGATGTCCACTTGCCCCATGTCTTCATTGACATACTCTGCCAAATTCGGTTGCACTGAGCGAAGGAAACGGGCTATCCCAGCTCCCAGCTCCGAGCAACCTGTCACATGAGCACCCTGGGGCGCGCCCCCGCTGGAAGACGTCCGTTCCGGCGTCTTGATAGTCCACGGATCATTGGGGCCAGCTCCCCCCTCCAAGTTCAACATGGACAGCTGTGGAATTGCGGTCTTCTCATGAAGCCGACGGCGACGAATACCATCTTCCCAATCGGCCCTGCGAGGCTGTCAGAAATCTTGGGGAGATGCACCACGACGTCCTCTGCCTTGGGTTGGTCAGCACTGGGAACCCCCACATCGTCTGCCCAAAAGAATCTTTCGCTGTAAGCCGACTGGACATAATAACTAATGTTGGGCATAATAACTGGTGGTGGTCAGTACTGCACGACCAGAAAGGACCTCCACAAAGGCGAGGTTGCGCACCGTGACGTCCTGAGCTTTGCCCACCATATTGCGCCAAGCGGTAAGAGAGGCTCGGCCACGGCATACTGCAGCATGAGCGTCATCAGGCTCTTCACCCAACACCTCTTCACCCGGATCACCACCCCCAGGTTCTGAAGGTGTGTGCTCCTCCATGCCAATGGATGGCAGCGCAGCCGCTGCCGGTTGACGTGCGGGGACACCTTGCTTCCCCCACTCGATGAGCCTCTCCCAGAGCAGCCTGCAGCGCTTTCCCGCGTCACATTCGACTCCACCTCCAAGTCGCCATCGTGAGGAACTGGAAGATCTTCGGGTCGGCACCGTTGAAGCGCCGCCTCAGCCTGGATCCTTTGGAACCACCATGGGTTGACCATCACACCACCTGGTGGAAGTGATCTTGCCCTATCCATGGCAGATGGTAGCTAAGCTTGGGCTCATAACCCTTGAAACTTCACAGGGCAAACTCCTGTTTTCAGGCTCGAACAAAACGCCTGCCGGTGATCGCCACCGATGTCTTCAGACTTACTATTTCTTTCTCACTATGTATGTCTTAATGTTATTTCTTCTTGTCTCTTTCACATTCGTTATTTCTTATTAAATACTTTCACATTCGTTAAATAATTTTTTATAACTATTACTTCTTGCTTAAGTGTTCTTTCTGTCTTTCTTTAGTTCTTTCTTTCTGCATGTTTCCCTTCATGTGCGTTTCTTTCTTGTCTTGTCTTGTCTTTATTGTCTTTAATGTCTTTTCCTTTTGTTTATTTTGTTTATTTTCTTTGCTTTTCCTTTCTTTGCTTTGCTTTGCTTTGCTTTTCTTTCTGCTTGTCTGTCTGTCTGTCTGTCTGTCTGCTTTTCTCACTCACTCACACACTCACTCACTCGCTCGCTCGCTCACTCACTCACTCACTCTCTCTTTCTCTCTTTCTCTCGTTCTCTTTCTCTCTCTCTCTCTCAAGGCATGGGATCACCTGTACCAGCATTCAACAATGCACACCATATTGCAAGCAAGGCGCAGCCCACGAGATGATCTTTATAAGCTGTCTTTGCTGGTTTGGCACTCTCTTGTGGGAGTCACTTCGGATGACGAAAATAGGTTCCAGCCAGTCCAAGTAGATTTCCCGCACTGGGCCAAACTGCGCCTTTGCGGGCCACATGCCACAAATGCAGGTTTCACGCAACACATTAACATTGATAGTGAGGCTCTTCTGGTTGTCCTACAGCCGCCTGCTCTGTTGCTTCACCCTAACCGGCAGCCCACTTCAGCTGCAGATCATTCAGGTGTGCAACATATCATATAAATCAACAACTCCCTCAATTAGTTCTGTTCCTCTGTTGTTTGTAGGCAAGATGGGGTGATGCTCTTTCAAATTGCAGACTCGTAGACTCTGCTTGACTGCGTTGAAGCCTGCGGCCAAACAGCAACACATACGGTTAAACAAAAATACAAATTGCGGCTTGAACACTGCAACTCCGCAACCAATTACTGCAACCACACCGATTCGGAGGAACCATGTGTTGAGGTGTGGGTAGGACAGAATGATTGAAAGGGCCGTCATCACATCCATGGTCAAGCAGACCTTGGTAACGATTGACTCTGGCGACTTGCTCTACCAATGTCAACAAACCATGCACAAGCAGCATTAAAAGGCATGGGTTGCGTACTGCAACTGAGCAGCGAAGCTCTCACTCTTCTCTGGCGGCAGGGCAACGTTGGCAACTTTTGCAGGCGAACGGGCACTGGCGACGACAGCAGCAATGAATGCCATCGACGCCAGGGTGTACATGAGATTCTGCCACCAATATGCATGGCCAGGAGCCTCTGCACTGGACAATGAAAATGGCTCAAGGCAACTTGAGAACTCGCAAGGGCATCTTTGACTCACCAATACCCATCCCCAAAAAACATCAAAAACCTTCAAAAACACACCATGTCCCAAGCACCAAAGGCCCCCTCCCCTTCAAGCTCAAGCTTAAGCTGTCTAGGCAACACAACGCCTCAGCACCTTCGGCGCGGGCGGATTTGTACATTGATTTAATGGGGCCTCCCATCTGGGGCCCCAGGGTGGATGGGGCCCCAGAATAGTTTTTTTGCAGAATGGCAGGCCCTGGAAGTGCACTTTTTCATCAATTTTCAGCCATCTCGAGATGCATTTTTGTATTTTTCAAGGGTCTACTCAGCTGAATTGCCAAGGACATCTCAACTGCTGTCCTCTGACAAAACGCAGAGTACAAAAAATACAAATAAAAGAACACCACCAAAAATAAAACACACACACAATCCTGACAGACTCTTTGGACACCCCCCCACCCCCAGTCCAAGACAGACCTCCCAGGAAGTTGTTTTTTATTTTGCTTGCTTTTGTTTTTTGATTTGGGGGGGTGTCCAAGGTACCAAAAAATAACAATAGAACACAAAAACAAATAAAACCGAAAAAACACTCCCCCCCTAAAAAGAAAACACACCCACAATCCTGACAGACTCTTTGGACACCCCCCCACCCCCAGTCCAAGACCTCCCAGGAATTGGTGTTTTTGTTGTTCCCCACCTGCCAGGTGAGGGTTGTTAGATTTTATCACAGTTGTTCTTCCTCCTCCTCCTCCTCCTCCTTCCTTCCTCCTTCCTCCTTGCTTCCTTCCTCGCCAATCTTCATCGCCTCGCCAATCTGCATCGCCAATCTTCATCGCCAGTCTGCTTCGCCAATCTTCTTCGCCGATCTTGTCTGGCCAGCTCCGGATCGCAGTGTGCACCCCTGGACCTCAACCGCAAGGATCCCCTCGCTGTGTGCACCCCTGGACCTCAACCGCAAGGATCCCCTCGCAGTGTGCACACCTGGACCTCAACCGCAAGGATCCGATCGCAGTGTGCACCCCTGGACCTCAACCGCAAGGATCCGATCGCAGTGCGCACCCCTGGACCTCAACTGCAAGGATCCGACCGCAGTGTGCACCGCTGGACCTCAACCGCAAGGATCCGATCGCAGCGTGCACCGCTGGACCTCAACCAGATAGTTTGCCAGATAAAATGCCAGATAGAATGCCAGGTAGATTGCCAGATAGAATGCTGCAAGAAGATATGCCAGATAGTATGCCAAATAGTGTGTCAGATAGATTGCTAGATACATTGCCAGATAGAATGCCAGAAAATATGCCAGATAGAATGC